TGTTCTATCACATAGATACTGTTAGATTGTAGATGCTCATAATAAACATGGCCAGGATTTTAAATACTGAGGTCGGCCTATGTGAAAGTAATCCCTGTGAGCCAAAAGCTCATGCTTTAGCCTGCTCTGAGTGCTCAGTCTGACAATGCTTTGTAGTCTCTGAGCCACAGACTTTGAACTGTTGAAGGAAAATGGAGAGAACCCATGCCGACATGGGGTGAACATACAAACTCCACACAGAAAAAGCCTGGCCAAACCCAGAACCTTCTTGCTGTGAGACAATAGTGCCTACTTTTACCCGTATAACTAAAGTAGTCGCGTCTGTACTTGATAGACGTCAGAGGTCAAATTTCACAACAGCAGCATTGAGCTACCAGTAATTTAGCATCTTGCCTAAAGACTTAAGCTTCATGTTGAGTTATGGACGTTAAGCATGGAAGCAGAACTCTTGGTACAAAAGGTAAAGTTAATAACCAACCATCCTGATACCTATTATCAGGGTTTGTTGAGCCAGCAATTGCAAAGAAAACCTGGCTATGCCTCACTTGCTTTGTAGTACCAACCCTACTGAAAGAAACTGAATCTGAAGGAAATGTGACGCCAAACAAGCTTTGATGTTTGAAAACAGGCAACAGGTTTCTTATTGCCTGAGTCGCGTCTGTTTATAAAGTGAAAGTGTGCTCCAAACATCAACAGATTACACATATACCGACAGTCTGCACAAGGCCACACACAAGTACACAGCATTAAAAAAAAAAATCATTCTCACTTCCAGCTGGTTAAAAATCCATCAAACAGCATTACATCCTTCAAATCCTGGATTCTCTCCATTGGCTTTGTATGCCTTATACAACTGAGTTTTAGAATTTGCTGCTTGGTTTTAAAGCACATTAAAGACAGGTCTCAAGCTAGGACTAAGACTGACTTCATATGAGCCAGCTCAGGAGGGTGTACTGCAAAGCAAGTTCACTAGGAAAAGAAAAAGAACGCATACATTTAAAGAAAGCTCTTAAAACACGTGGTTATCCCGAAGTAGGCCTTGATCAAATCAGGGAAGATGCACAGGAAAGAAGGCGAGGCACCGACTAGGGAGAAAAATAACTCAGGAGAATTTTCACTTCAGACCCAGCCACGCACTCGGACAAAACCTGGTTCATCCCAAAGACCAAACTCCCAAACACAAGCTAAAGTGCTCAGTGCTCTACACTGGAGAAACCAAAAGCCAAACAGCTACTCCACAAATGCATGGCACAACATAGAAGAGCCACCTCGACAGGATGAGGCTCGTCTGTACATCAGCATCTAAAGGACAAAGGTCACTCTTACGAGGATGCCAATGTTCACGTTTTGGACAGAGAAGACAGATGGTTTCAAAGAGGAGTGAAAGAAGCGAAAGTGAAAGAAACGATCATCTTTGAACAGCAGGGGTGGCTTATGATACCGTTTGCTACCTAACAATGCAGTTTTAAGATCCCGTCCTAGGCACCTCAACCCCCATTCAGATCTTGTGTCAGGTGATCTCAATGGGTCACATAATAGGGTGATGCAATGGCTTCACCCGAAACCTCTGCTGATAAGGACCCATGCCTTTTATCACACCTTGGCTCATGTGGTGAGTCACATGATCAATAGTGGGTCAACAACCCTCTAAAGGGACAATTCCCACTTGGCTTAAATACCTGGGATTCTCCACCGTTTGGTACTGAAGAAGCTTTTTGGATGAGAGGTGAAACATCTTCAAGAAACTTAAAGACGTTCAGTTGCTTTCTTTCCAAGTTCCTTAGAATTATCATGTGGTACGATGATGCTCCCACAGTCCAAGGACATAGATATTTGGTTAATTGGTGCTTCTTAATTGGTTGTAGTTGTGAATGGTTTTCTGTCTCTCTGCATTAGCCTTGAAAGTCTGGGACCTATCCAGTGCTGCAAAGTAATGATGCTTTGTGCGCTCTCTGTGCAGCTGATTGTGTCTAATGTGACAATAGCACCTTAGAGCTCTGAAACTTTAAACTGCATGCATTTAAACATTAAAGATTACCCATAGCCTAATAAAGGAGAGGTGGAAATTGCTTCAGTTTGTCACCAGATCAAAGCATAGTAGATAGTTATTGTTGGTGATAAGTAGGTTACAAATGCAACAGATCAGTTGTCTAATGTTTGTTCTAGCAGCTGCAAATCCAGAAGTGGAAAAGAGACAAGACAAGATTAGGACTGAGTATACAAACATTTATACTGAAGACATACAAATTCCATCGGCAATGACGCAGTTTGCTCTGTTCTTTTCCGTGGCGTTATAAAAAGGTTGTATAATCTACAGTGTGCACAGTCGTGGTCAGAGGTTTACATACACTCATCATGGGCATGCATGTCATAGCAATTTTAACAATTTCTTTGAACTGCTCTTTTCCCGAGGATTGCACATCTTTAATGACTTTAAAAACAAGAACTGAGTGCACAAGTCGAGATTTTCTCTAATCCACACATGGTCTAAAATATCCCCACGGGCTCAAATATATACATGCGCTCACCTTTTTAGTATGACTACAACTGGTAGTTTCTTTTTGCCAGCATAAAAAAAGATCAGTTGGACAGTGGTCATTAAAATGACCAACTCTCAGAACAATTCAAAAGTCCAAAGGAGCTCAGTGAAGATCTAAAGAGAACTGTGACATATTGGGAAGGTCACTTTAACAAGGTGTGGATGAAAACCCAAACTGTCATGGTTGGGTTGTACAGGAACCAGTGAGGCTCAAATCTGCAAAAAAAAAATGGAAACTGCAGAAACACCAGTGTCACCATCCACAGTGAAGTGAGTGTTACATCATCATGGACTGAGTGCCAATCTGCTTCAAAATCAGCACCCTCAACCTCGACTGAAATTTGGAGCTGTCCTCATGGACAAAGCAAATGCCTTCTGGAGAAAAGTTTCACAATTTGAGTAATAAAGATTGAGCTATTTGTCCACAGTGATAGAAAGCATGTTTGGAGGATAAAGTGAGGCGTTCAGACCTAAGAAAATTGCACCAACTGTCAAGCATGGTCGTGGTAATATCATGCTCTGGGGCTGCTTTCCTGATTGTGGTACTGTTACATGGCAAAGAGGATGGAATGATGGAGGACTACCTTCAACCAAAATATGTCTGGTTGAAGTGCAGCTTGCTAAGAGACATTTAACCAAATGTTAGTTTAGATATGTACTTGTGTACCCAAATCTTGTTTTTTTTAAAGTAGCTACAGATTTATGCTATGTAAGCATTCCACGCTACCCCCCTGAAAAGTTCAAAGAAATCCTTAAAAGTCCAAAAGTACCAAGACATTCATTCCTATACTGAGTGTATATGGACACTTAAAACATTCTGTAAATAACTTTAGGCTTAATATGCCTAATTCAATGATCAAATCCATTTTAAACACTTTTTATATGCCGTCTTTTTATTGTTATTTAAAAGGACAACAGCATTTTGTGCAATGCTTTCTTTAGCTTCCCCATTTCTCTAATTTTACAGTTTTAAGCACAAATGTCCAGCTCTGACAAATTCAGCATTTTCTGTCAAACCACTTCCTACATACTAGTTTTACTCTGGCGGTACACAAATGTTATTTCTACACACAACTCAAGACTCAAAGTGATGTGACTTCAGTTAGTGATTCACGCAGCCACCACAGGATCCTTGGCAGGTATTTTATTTCATATATAGACGCTTTCTGTAATCAAATGTGAGTGCAATCAAACAACAGCAATACAAACATTACCAATGCAGTCTGAGAACCAAGAACAGGGTTAAAACAGGGAGTTCACTCACTCTACACAGCGAGCAGCTAGTAACCTCATGGACAACATCCAAAACAAAGGAGAGAAAAAAAACAAGGACAGTCTGCTGTCATGTGCACCTCCAACCGTCATGGTGGGGAGGAAGACTGAGGAGACTACTGAACTGCCTCCACCCCTTCTCCCCAATCCAAACCATCAACCGCGACGCCATGAGTCCAACTTGCCCGCGGCTCTTCAGTGATAACCTCCCATTTCCCCATCATGATTATCATTGTCATCAACCTAACAAAAACAAGAAAAATAAAATCCAAATCATCTCTGCTTTTCAAACCTCAGGAGCCTATCAGTGTCCAGAGGTCCCTCAGGTTTAGTCCATCTCAACCAATGGCTGTCCATCCAGGTCGATTAGAAAAACCACGTAGCTGTACATGTAGAACCAAAGTCCTCATGCAGTGCCCTGCGAAGGTGGCACATCACATACGTGCACAGGTGGAAGAGGGGAGGGGGTGTGGGGGGGTTTATGGTTTAGAGTGTCTGTGTGAGATAGAGGGAGTGTGTGTGTGTGTGTGTGTCTGTGTCTTTTAAGAGGGAAGAAGCAAATGTGTTAGGTGTTTATCAGACCTAGGAGCACAAAAAAAAAAAGTCCAGGAGACGAAGAATTACATACAAAGTCTTTATCCACCATTTGTCTCCTCTTGGCCCTCCTCGAAACACTCTCACACACAAACACTCTCGCATACACACAAACGAACACGCACCACACACACACGATAGGTCCTCATGTCATTGTGAAGTCAGGCATCAACATTCAAGAAAAGAAAAGAAAAACAAAAACACCTCAATGGTAAAAATCATCTCTACCATCACAATGCTTCAGTTCATAAAATATTTTTTCAGAGAAGTGATTCAGGTTTTTCCTCCAGGTTTAAAGCAGTATGCGTGTGTGTAGTAGTTGTCTTCGTCATCGTCTTTGTCCCACTGCTGCAAACACACACACACACACACACACACACACACACACGCACACACACACACACACACACACACACAACCAACATACGCACACTCACGCGCTCCAGCACACACCACGTGTCCTCTTTTAGTGGAGAAAGACATGGCGCAATGGAGAGACACTCCTCCTCCCCGAGTGGACGCACGGATCACCAGGAGGAGACGGGGTTTCTTGCCGCAGCTACCAAGGGTCATCCAGGTCACCGGCACTCTGGGTGAGGAAAGAAAAGGAAGAGAGGTGTGCCAGAGTTGTTATTGTCAAGTCTATCATTGTATGTAGTAATTAAACTGCTCCAGAAGCCTTAAATAATGGCAAACCTTTAAACCTCACTGCCCCCCTCCCCTCCCCCCCTTTTTTAATATATTCAAATTGAATGGCTAATGGTGGAAAGCCGTTATATTCCCCTGCACAACCAGAACCTCTGATGACTCACCTTGCGGAGAATCACGAGGCCAGCTGTCAGACTGAAAAACAGGGGAGGAATGGAGAGAATGGAGTCCCTATAGTCTACATGGCTTCCTCTCGCTCCTCGCTCAGTTTGAGTTTTCAAACCTGAGAGCTGCTTTTGTTTTAAAGGAGACGACTCTTTAAAATGTCTTCAAGCAGCCGAGACGAGGTCAAGGCTCGAGCTAACAGCTGACAGAGGAGAGCAAGGAAGCTTCAGCAGTTTCCGAATACTTCACAGCCTACACAGACACATACACAACACAATAAACGGAGTAAAGGTCTACTAAAAGTGTCAGGGAACAGTCCTGTATCAAATGTCACCATGTTGCATTGGGATTGGAATGCTTAATCATGAAAAACAATCACTTCTGAATGGAAAAATGTCAACTTTGAACCCCTGATCTGCAAGATGACTGATTTGGTACAGGGCCTAAACGAAAAATAGAAAAAAATAAACCCCAAGACATAAATACATACAGTTAGTTTACAGTGAGACACTTGACACAAATCATTGCATTATACCTCAAATCCTTTTTATTTCTTATTTGCAGAACTAACCTGTTCCACACAACCACATAGAAATCATAGAAATACAGCTCATACATACAGGCGCGAGCACGCACACACACACGCACGTACGCCGTTTAGCATTACCTCCCCTCTGATAGTTAAGTGCTTTAGATATTGAAAAGGTAAGTGCAGCGCATGCATTACCAGAATACAGGGCTTGTACAGACTCACAATAACCTCCATCTACCTGAATAAGAATAAACTCTGCAGGTCAAGCAGTCAGTTTCAATATATCTGTTACATCGAGGTAAGTGTTTAAGATTGACTCGATCTGTACAGGCAATGGCACAACCTGTGAGGAATATAATATGCTGCAATGTGGGGTTTTTTAAACAAAAGCTAAAAAGGACTCTTGGAAAACCTTGATTATTAATAATACCTTGAACTGATTACAGACAGAGAGCCATCGCACATGAAACATATCAACTGTAGTCCGAGTGTAATTCACCACAGGTGAACAGTATGACATCAGCCGTCCCACCGATATGTATACGTATCACTTTTGTAAGGTAAGATCGAGAAGGCAGGAATACTTGTGGTCGCCATCCCACATGGTGTGCTACCTTTAGACTGACAGAACTGATGTAATCAAAGCAGAGGAGTCCCAATGTCACCCATGTCCTAATCTTATCAGCAGTTACCAGTTTTTACAGTTTGCCTTTCACTGATCGATGCAGTGAAAAGCAGCTTTGGAAAAACTGCCAACAATAGGTTTGCAACATAGACTGTAAACAAAAGATGGCCACCATTATCTCGCCCGTTGGTTAGTGAGTTTTTACTGTTTTTGTATTCAAACTGGATTACAGAAGCGAGAAGGTAGACCCACCCTAAAGCATACACTGGTTTATCCACATTTTTGACCTGAATTGGGACCAAAATTTACAAAATGAGCATAATTTTGTATTACATATGACTTGAAACTACAAATTAAGACCATAAAGCCTCCACGGAGTCATATAGCAATAAGTAGGAGTGCATTTTTAAATGTATAGAACAGGAGTCGCTCTCCCCTGCTGGGAATTAGAAGGAATCCAGGTTTATGGCACTTCTACATACTTTACTTTTCAGACCCGGAACTACGTTCATCTTTTATATACAGTCTATGGTTCCACAGGTTATACTAATTAACGCTAACGTTCTGTTAGTAAGGCCCACGTTTCCAGTTTGAAATACTAGTGCTAAGCTGTGAACACGCCATCCAATCAAACAGCTGTTAGTACAAATGTAGGTCGCATCATACAATGTAGTGCTTAGCATTTTAAGATAATGTGGCTATGCGCGTGTTGCTGTAAAAACATAACAAAACAAACAAAAACAAAAACACCTCAGTGCATGACTAAACATTTTTAGGGAGAACTATAATTGCCGCTCTGGCACCAAAATTTTATCCACTTAATAACTTTGCTTTCTACTGTTCAAAGAGCCATTTACACCCCCACCGCACTCTACCCCACCAACAACAGTATCAAGCGATTTATTATTTTTTTATGTAATCATGTGGAAGCTGCAAAGACTTAATTTGCATCCAGACTGGTTTGAACAACCTACCATCGCTGAGCAGCTGATGGACTGTGTAACTGTCAAGTATCGCAAGCAATCAGAAACACACGTTTCAGTAGTGATTACTGGGCTCTTGCTCGGTCACTCAAACTCATGCAGACACACACACATAAACACACATACAAAAACACAAGAAGAGTGTGTTCTGAGTCTGTAGATGGAGTAGGCCTGGAGACAGTGCAAAAGGTTGCACAGCTGCAGTTCAGAATGTCTCCTCGTGTTTTCTTTGTCAGTTCCTCCACTGTATGAAGGTGTGGGGGTGAGGCTTAAGGGTGGGGGTGAGGGTGGGGTCAGCCAGAAGCAAATACGGATAAATGTAAGCCATAGAGTGCAATGTTCACTTTGGCTTCACTAGCCACTTTTGCTTGTTATATTTTTATTTTGTTTACCATGAAAATTAGTTAATAAATCTGCTTCTGTGATCAAGTTTAAGTTTGGGAATCCAAGCCAAAGTGGTCAGAAGAAACAAAAAGGAAGAAAAATCAAAGAGTCCACATCTAAGGTATATAGATATATATATGTATGTCTCAGATACAGAACTTGAATGGACAGAAAAGCCCTTTTTGTTGTTCCTAATGAATTATTCAAATACAAAGCTGGACGTGGCCATTCAAGTTCTGCGATGAAGGACAGAGGAGGAGAGGTCATAGCACATCTCACTAGAGCTCTGGGATAGGATGGATGAGAGGGTGGTTGGGTATACAGGCAGGTGGTCAGTCAGAGGAGGGATCAGACTTTGGGATGGGCTCGTCTTGGCTGGCCTCCAGCTCTGCAATGGCGGGTGAGGGCGGGGGCGAAGGGGGAGAGGGAGGGGAGGCGGGTTCGTCCTGGTTGTCACAGTCGTCGGTCGTCCTCCTTCTCTCCCCTGCTCTCTCAACAGCACTCTCCCCCCGCAGATGGTAGGTAGCCAGGGACTCCTCCAACACCGAGCGGTACTGCCCCCGGTGGTGCATGCGGAACTGCCGAAGAGCCTCCAGCAGATGAGCTGCCGTGCTGCCACCTCCCTCCTCACTCTCCTCCTCCTCCTCCTCTCCCCCCGCACAGGCCTGAGGTGACACGCCAGGGTCAGACTCTGCAGGCACGCTCCATTGTCAAACACACACCAGCACACACATATATATATTTATATACACACGCGCACACACACATATCACCTTACAATCAGCGGCACATCACACACACAGACATCTACCACACAACAGCATCACAGCATCAAGAGACATACTTGCACCAGACGGACAGGCCCATGCAAACGCTACCTCTGACCCTCTGACCAACAGTCCTTTGTGAGATTTGCTGTGTAGTGTAACGAGGGGAGGGGGAATTCATCAGTACCCACAAGCCCAAAGAAAAGAGCCTGCAAGGCTAGACTCCACTGACATTAATACAACAAATACACCCATGCATTTATGCACACACTTCTTCACATTCACCCTGGTGGGCCGTTCAAGACCTGACACTGATCTCGTCTTCAGAATGAAGACGTTTGTAAAAACGCCTGCAGCCTTCCTTAAAAGATGCTGGATGTGGGATTCTCTGCTCTAACATCATATCCATTTCCTGCAGTATAAACAGAGTGCTGAAGTTTAAAACGTTTCCAGTTGCTGTTATATTATTTGCAGCTGTAAATACTTACCATTTCTTTTTATTTATCTCTTAATAGTGACGGTGCGGTGTTACATATCATAAATTACCCGAAAAAAAAAAAAAATCAGCCCAGTTGTATGATTTAATTTGATTGTCTGCAATAACATTAAAACATTTATTTATAGAAGGTGCTAAGAAAAAAAAATCTGTGACTCTGCCCTTAAAAACAAACAAACAAACAAAACAAAAAACTTTTGTGCTATCCCGATTAGATGGCTTTGTGGAAGTCCCTATCTGACCAAATCATTGTGGTGCAAAATGAGCCAAAATTAAAAAATGACAACTTAAATCTGAGGTGGGTTTTAATTTTTTAAAGAACATTAGGATCACATCCCATATAAATGTGTTTGAATAGACAAATCAATATTTTTGAGCAGAATCATGATGCCGGGGGAGTGTTAACATCTAATTCAACTTAATTTACATAATCTTTGGCTTGAGATTTCTTAGACAAACACAGCGAGCACAATGCAGCATGGGTACTTTAATTATTGGGTAATTAAAGCACAGATGATCCTGACATTGTTTTCGTAAGCTGTGTGCATACCCGTTCTATGTAACAGAAGAATAATATCTCTAATCTTATTTTTTATTTACACTGATTCCCACATAGTCAAAAAGACATGAGACAGAAAACAGTAAGAAAGCCTAAGGCCTCTCTGGGATCGATACGGCTGTTGGGAGGATTTCTGCAAAATTTACACACAGATTTGAATTATATTTTTACAAGATGTGAGGCTGGGCCTGGCTTAAAATTAGAATTTTGGATTTCGATCTATGAATTTTTTGCAGGGATTTTTTAACATTGTGAGAAAGATCAAAAACTGGACATTTCAGGCAGTATGTTCACAAATAAATATCTGATTGAAGACCTTATCTTGAATTTTAGGAAAGTATCAAAACCAAATCTGGGTTCAAATATCTTTCTAGATCTAATCACTCAGTGCTTTGCAGAAGTATGGCTTCCCGATGAGGTGAATAAAATTTTTTTTAAATGTCCTCCAAGCATTTGTTTAAGTGCACACACTGAGTATATGAAACAGAGTAACGAGAATCCACCTTAAATAAGCTGTGACTACCGAGTATATCAGTAACACGAAGTAAATATTTAATGTAACAAATAAAGCTAGCAGGTTCTTTTGAATGACTTTCTGCTGCTAGGTTTCCAAACACAAAAAAACCCCCAAACGTGCATTTTTCAAGCATTAACTATATGAAATCAATGGTTTAAAGGATATGCGCTCGCTGCTGAGAGGTTCAATAGGTTTATCGAGGTCTTATTATACATCCCATTTCGATGATAAATGTGAAATAGAAACAGACGCTTGGAGCTTCAGTGCTTTTCAACGTGGAATGCAGTCAACTGAGGCTCCCTGAACCTGTCAAGGTTATTCCGTTTATTCTATCCTCCGCCCTCTTTCACACTTATATCACATTCATTTTCTCTCGCTCTCACACATACATACAGCGGCACACAGAAAGAGTGTCCTTGTCTGGGCTGGTGTTTGTTTATGAGGTTATGTTGAGGCAGGGTGAAAGGCTGAAGAGGTGAAGGGCGGGAAAGAGTTCAGAGACAGGTTAACTCACCCCTTCTTCTTCTCTGTGAGGGTTCAGCCTGTTGTACACAGCCTCGATCACACTCCGCCTGCAAACACACAAACAACACATAGTTTCCTGCTTAGAGGAGACAAACAGCACCGACATAATGCAGCTTCTGTTCGCTCTCAGTAAATGTATATTGATTGAGGACTTAATGGAGCTAAAAGCGACTTTGTCAATTTTAGAGAATTCACCATTCATGCATATGACACTCTGTAATCTCTTCATTCATGTGTGCAGTCAGTTAATGTTGTGCTTTCTGCATGTGTTGGCTTTTTAATGTTTATCCGAAGTTGTTGTGGATGCAACTAAAGGATGCAGACACTTGCGTTTCTCAGTGTTTTATCGTCATCAAATCTTGAAAGGCTTTTCTTGTATAACTGGATAAATCCCAAACATAAACAATATATACACTTTTGAATTTGATGAAAAAAATCAAAACTTTTCACATCTTTAATCAACCCAGACTATTTTAACTTGTGGGTCATTATATACATCTAACGCTCTCCTAGTAAGACATGTTGCTAAAAACACATCAAACAGATTGACTGCTTATAAACCCAAAGAGCCAGATTTACAAGATGGGGCAAATTAGCATGAGATGGGAGAGGAAAGTTCTGCAAGTGTTCTACTAACAAGGTGCTAGTTCATAAGCAAAGATGCAGCCAATTTATTTCAATAATGACTAACACCATCCATCGACAGCACAAATTAGCGGGTCAGAAATGAGCAGGCGCGATAAGGGAGTGCGTATTCAACCTACTAAAGTAATACAATGTAAGAACAGGTTTTATCTCTGTGTTTAACGACACAACTCGAGCGTCACTTTAGACCAATGAGCAGTTTAAATAAGAATTGTTGCGTTTTTGACGTAAAGGCGGAGTCTTCAGTTACAAATTGTTGAGAATTTTAGGTGGATAAATGGCATCTTTGAATATATAAGGTGGCGTATGGGACTGATTCTGTGAAGCGCTGCATTATAAAAAATACTGGCACCTATGGTATATACTTGAAAATCCTAGGGGACTGACCTCTAACCTTGAGGTCTAGGTTACTGGGAATTTAACTTGTCTGAGATTTTTTGTAGCTGCACCTATGGGATGAATTAAAAATCATCCCATACAACATTTTCAGACAACCTGACCTCTGGCTTGACGTTGACGTCACTGAGATTCGAACTCAAAGAGAGATTTTTAATGGTAATAATTTGAAAATCTTACGCTCCCCATTCCCAAGTTATTGCATTCACAAGCTTAGGTGTTCATTCGGCCTGTCGAGGCGATGACAAAACCATTGTCATGAGCCATTTTGGCTGAAGGGTAAAAACTATTCCACCTTCTAAACCTGAAATGTGTTTAACATTAACCAGTAGGATGTGCAATATAAGAATACAAAACCTTACTTTCTGTCAGAGCTGCCTGACCCCTGTGTTAATAAAGTTTCTGTTACTGTGCCATGTATATAAAAACGTGTTTTTTACCTGCATGATGTGTGATGGTGCAGGTAATCGAATGTATCATTTTAACTTAAATTTAAGAGCACTTTAATAGCTATATTTAATAGCTGTATTTTGACAGACATTTTAAGCTGCATGTATTAGCTATATACTAGAGAGAAGGTAAAAAAGCAGTCACAAGACTCCTCACAAGTTCTGTGAACAGATCTCTGTTAAATTCAGTTAAATGTGGTTAGATTTTGATTTTACATCAACAATACCAGTAATCACAAAATACCAGAAATATGGTGAGATCAGATCTAACCATGGCACTCCAAAGCATAACCCTTTACTTGCCCTTCATAACGGTGATAAGAAATGTGCTATGAAAACAAAGCTGTTTTTTGTGACTTGTGAGTGAAGGATTCAACTTCTAGTTCATCGCACAGTGTTAACATTCTGCCGATAAATTTCTATGGAATGAATCTATTCAAATTTTCAAGCCTCATAATAATAACTATATACAAGTTTTAAGTGTAGAAAGAGTAGATTTTTGTTGTATATTTACTTGCTGGCCAGGCCTCCACCAGGAGGAAGGTTCGGGATGTTCTCTGAGGCAATGCTCCTTAGGACAGATACCAGGTCAGGGACTCCAGCCTCTCCACAGTTTCCCATAAGCTCTACAGACAAATGGAAAGATGTCAAGAGCTATAATACAGAAAGTTATACACCATTTTTGGAATTTAACCACCACCTTTCTCTACAAAGGCTGAGAATTCACCCATAGTAAATCAGATAAACCCCTGCTTGCCTTCTGCTGCGGCACTCAGTAGAAGACTTCAAATATTTGTAATACCTAAAAAAGACTTATTATGTCGAAGTTATATAGACAGCACCTAAGCACTGTATGTGGCCTTGTGTGTTTCACTTAACCTTTAGAAACAGGCTCAACTATAACTAAACACTTCACAAAAACCAACCACAAGTTTCAACCGCAACATATCAGACGTGACAGTTTAAATACTAACAAGAAAGATGCTGACAGATAAATAGCAATGTTTCTTTTTTTTAACCACAGTATAAAGACTGTGCTGTTGAACACAATAATAAATACAGTACATATTCTAAATTTTGTTATTATGTTTGTGTTAGAGAAAGTTGTTTTACTGAGCTTGCAAACTTAGCAAATTGTTTTTTAAGTGCATAACCTTG